TGTTTCAGTTTCAGAATATGCCTAATAGCACCCCCTACCATAGGCCTATAGCAGCGAAAAGCCGGGAAACTATTTTGCTGAAGCATTTTCTGACATATAATTGAAATGTCCATCAATTTAGGGAAAGAGTTAACTATTAAATATTGAAATGTGACTTTACTCCCAATTCTTAATAATTCCTAAAACAGTAACAAGAAAGTGTTGTAATGCTATATTTAGAATTTGTTTTTCTAAACAGTTTAATGGCATATATTCTACCATTTATATTAATATATCTACCATTAATATAATCAGTGACAATAAATACATTATAATGTTACAAAAAGATTTCTGTCAAATAAATGCTGTTCTTTTGAACTTTTCAAAAAAATTTAATAATAAAAAAATGTTTCTTAAAGGGTTACAGTAGTTCACCCAAAAATGAAAATTCTCTGTCAGTAATTACTCACCCTCATGTAGTTCCAAAAATGCAAGACTTTTGTTCATCTTCAGAAAACAAATTAAGATATTTTTGATGAAATGAGAGCTGGGTCAATCCTTCATAGGGTGGTAATTGCATCTGCCAGCCCAGAAAAGTTGGACACTACTGATTTACACTACTGTAAATTACAATCTTAAAGCTGCAGTCCGTAGCTTTTTTTTGGGGGTTAAGAATGATCCAAATAGTGTTATCATACTTTTATTACAATGCAATTATACATTTATTACAGTTATAGTATTTTTACAATGTAATTATACATTTGTTACAATGTACTTATATATTTATTACAGTGTTATTATATATTTGTTACATTATTATTATTATTAATTATTAACATTTATTACATGACTATTTTGTTACATTATTCTTTTTGAAAAAAGTATCGATTCTTTTCTGAAAAATCTATTAATTTTTTGAAAAAGTAGTGATTCATTTTTGAAAGGTAGCGATTTAACAGAATCAATTTAAGTCAACTACACTGTTTAATTCTGAATATTATAATTTATTCCTGTGCGCTTAACACATATTTATATATATATGTATATCTAGGATACAGTCGTGGCCCTTGAGGCTTTTGACGAAATACAGCATACAGAACAACGATATAGGAGACCTGGATCTGAGGGTGGAAATGTGCCTTGAAAATGGCAAAAAGCAAGATTTTCAATTGACCAAATATAATGCGCTCACCACAGAAGCTGTCATGGTAAGAAAGAATACTTTCTATAGAATACTATCTTTAGTAGATAAATGCATACTTTACTAGTGATGACTCATCCAGATTTTCTTTTCTTTCTTAAACGAGTGAACCCATGTTCCATATTTTATATTCCATATTCAAGCGTTTTGAAACTAGGTTCATGGCTTTAGTCCAACCAATATTAAAAAGGAACAAAACGTTTTGATATGTTGAAACATCCAATTGCAATGGGGAATATCATCAGGCTGCAGAAAAACGCATCAAGTGATTTTATTTCTCTTTAAAAATGTGATAAAGTATGCCATAAGTATAAAACCCACACTATATGTGCACTTGTTTACACAGATCAGAAATGCTGGTAAAGTTACCCTAAATGTTCAGGGAACAGGACATGGAACATTAGCAGTAAGATTTTTTTTTTTTCTCTCCAAATTTAAAAATTATTGATGATCTATGATGTTTCAGTTTTTATTTTAAATGGCTTTTTGCTCATTACAGGTTGTGCAGACATACAGAACTATGAAAAAGGATGAGTCATACTGTGATCTTTTTCACCTTAGTGTTACGGTGGAAGGAGAGCTGGGATACAGTACGTAACATGTAATGTGACAGCTGCGGTTGTTGTACGTCATTCTGAATAAGAAGTTAAATTAGCATTTTTTTTAAGTTTAAATGTTTTATTCAGCCGTACAGGATGTTTAAACTAATCCATTAAATGAACGTTTCAGAGATCTAGTATTTGGGTGAGGATGACCTCAGATGGCGAGGAGGAGTAGTTACAAACGTCATCTACTACTAATTCAGATTAGGACTTAAAGTCAATATGCTCTTCTCTAGAAATGAACAATAAGGAAGAAACGTTTGATGATTATTACAACTACGAAGCCGAGGAGGATCAAAAAGATGAGCCCATGAGCAGCATAGAATGGTTTGATCTCCGCAGCCGTAGAAAAAGACAAATCTCAGAGGAGCCAAAGAAAGAGAGTTCACTCATATACACAGTGTGTGTGGGGTGAGCACAATAAACAATCTTTTTATACACTTGAAAATGATTGATTTGTTATATAAATGTTCAGCAGAATTGTTTGGCCTAAATTCTCTCCTCTATCTTCCAAAAGCATGAAAAGAACAATTCTGTTGGCATGGTCATGGTGGACATCTCACTCCTAAGTGGACTGATGCCAAACATCAAGGATTTGGAACAGGTGCATATGCATTTATCATTTTTATTATTATTACATGTAGTTCTCAAACATACATTATATCATATTGACTTAGTATTCTTTAAGTACAATGTAGGTATTAATAATATTTAATATTTACATTTCAATATGGTAAGTTTTCTTACAATAAGCACCATATTTCTGGATTTTTAGAGAAAAATACATTCATATTTTATATTTGTTTTCCCACAGAATGTAAAGGCTCAGAGAGGTACAATGATCACTACGAAACCCACCATAATAAAGTCTTTCTTTATTTTTGCGAAGGTAATGGAGGAGTTTCTATACAAGAATCACAGACATTTTACAGTTTCTTTTTTCTTCTTTTTGCTGAATTTGAACATAAATGTCATTGAGTTAAATTGGCTCCACTTTTATTCATCAGCACTTATGCAACCGATCCAGCAGACATGAATATTTGATTATATGGTTCATGTCAACAGATCACAGAAACCGAGGAGTGTCTTCAGTTTGGTGCTGACCAGATTGTGTCCCATGGGACTTGTCCAACCTGCTCCTGCTGTCATCTATGACTATTACAGCCCAGGTCATCAAACACTATGAACAGAACACTTTATTGACAACACTTTGAGTATGAACACTGACTAATGCCATATTTGTTACACAGAAAAGAGATGTGGCATATTCTATACAGCCCCTCAGAAAAGCCCAATGATCTCCAAACTGTGTAGTGGGATGTGTGTACATGTGCAGAAGGTGGGAAAAACTATATACTGTGATTGTATTTGAACACAAATGCATAAGTGAAAACCAGATATACATTTCACACTTTCCAGGTGGTTGTCCAAACCTGAAAGTCACCTTCAGCAAGAATATGAAAACTAACACCCGGAGCAGATATGCATGCTACGATCCTATCGTTGACTATGGTAAGGAACTAAAGTCAGATAATGTTCAAATACTGTATGTTGCCAAGGCTTAACACTATACTAACTTATATTTTAAATGTGTTCTGTTTCTATAGTTTACGTGATTAAAATGATCACTCAAGCAGAGATGAAGTGTTTATGCACTATACCACATTGATCACTGATGTTCTTCAGACTGGTAAGTTTGGTCCCTCAGTAGTTTAAAATTTAAAACGAAACAAGTTGTAATAAGGTTCTATAGGTTGATTAAAGTTATAACTAGTTATTGTATGGCTGTTTTGAATACTTGGTTTTAATTGGCGAATCGCGCCTTCCACTGGAAAATTCACTCAAAATTATGTTAAAAAAATTCCCGTCATGATGAGTATCCTATTGAGTTTAAATTAACGAGGTTGAGAACGAAAATGCAGGTGTACAGAATGTATTAGTATATTGATCTGTGCATGTGGTCTTAAAGTTACAGCAGCCTAGTACCTGCAGCTATCTGCAGTTTATAACTTGTTAAAAACCACTCACTGCTCTTGATTAAATAACCTCTGTAACTTTAAATAAGGTTTGTTAATCTATGTTTAATTTATACACTGAAGACTATGCAGCGTTATTTAACATTTGATAAGCCTCCTTAATAAAATGTCTGTGAACATTTAAGGGTTACACTAGCTAACCTAAACTAGACCTCGCTAGACCTCCCATGTTGTCCTCTATCAGAATCCAGAGTTTCAAGAAGATCAGAAAAACTCAAAAGTTCGACCCGAAAAAAAAACGACAGTGCTGTCGTTTTTCTTTTTTTTTTGGTGCGAAAAAATAAGTTTCTCGAATCTTCTTGAAACTCTGGATTCTGATAGAGGGCCATGAGACTTAGACCTGAGTGCAAAAATGGAGGCTCTAGACCCTTCCAGAGCTGAGATATGGAAACTCAAAAATTTGACCCAAAAAAAAAAAAACGACAGTGGTACCCCTTACGTTTTTTTTGGGCGAAAAATGAAGTTTATCCAATCTTCTCAAAACTCTAGATTCTGATAGAGGGCCATGAGACTTAGACCTGAGTGCAAAAATGGAGGCTCTAGCCCCTTCCAGAGCTGAGATATCGAAACTCAAAAATTCGGCCCGAAAAAAAAACGACAGTGGTACCCCTTACGTTTTTTTTTTTTGGGCGAAAAATTAAGTTTCTCCAATCTTCTCAAAACTCTGGATTCTGATAGAGGGCCATGAGACTTAGACCTGAGTGCAAAAATGGAGGCTCTAGCCCCTTCCAGAGCTGAGATATCGAAACTCAAAAATTCGGCCCGAAAAAAAAAACGACAGTGGTACCCCTTACGTTTTTTTTTTTGGGCGAAAAATTAAGTTTCTCCAATCTTCCCAAAACTCTGGATTCTGATAGAGGGCCATGAGACTTAGACCTGAGTGCAAAAATGGAGGCTCTAGCCCCTTCCAGAGCTGAGATATCGAAACTCAAAAATTCGGCCCGAAAAAAAAAACGACAGTGGTACCCCTTACGTTTTTTTTTTGGGCGAAAAATTAAGTTTCTCCAATCTTCCCAAAACTCTGGATTCTGATAGAGGGCCATGAGACTTAGACCTGAGTGCAAAAATGGAGGCTCTAGCCCCTTCCAGAGCTGAGATATCGAAACTCAAAAATTCGGCCCGAAAAAAAAACGACAGTGGTACCCCTTACGTTTTTTTTTTTGGGGCGAAAAATTAAGTTTCTCCAATCTTCCCAAAACTCTGGATTCTGATAGAGGGCCATGAGACTTAGACCTGAGTGCAAAAATGGAGGCTCTAGCCCCTTCCAGAGCTGAGATATCGAAACTCAAAAATTCGGCCCGAAAAAAAAAACGACAGTGGTACCCCTTACGTTTTTTTTTTTGGGCGAAAAATTAAGTTTCTCCAATCTTCCCAAAACTCTGGATTCTGATAGAGGGCCATGAGACTTAGACCTGAGTGCAAAAATGGAGGCTCTAGCCCCTTCCAGAGCTGAGATATCGAAACTCAAAAATTCGGCCCGAAAAAAAAACGACAGTGGTACCCCTTACGTTTTTTTTTTTGGGCGAAAAATTAAGTTTCTCCAATCTTCCCAAAACTCTGGATTCTGATAGAGGGCCATGAGACTTAGACCTGAGTGCAAAAATGGAGGCTCTAGCCCCTTCCAGAGCTGAGATATCGAAACTCAAAAATTCGGCCCGAAAAAAAAAACGACAGTGGTACCCCTTACGTTTTTTTTTTTGGGCGAAAAATTAAGTTTCTCCAATCTTCCCAAAACTCTGGATTCTGATAGAGGGCCATGAGACTTAGACCTGAGTGCAAAAATGGAGGCTCTAGCCCCTTCCAGAGCTGAGATATCGAAACTCAAAAATTCGGCCCGAAAAAAAAACGACAGTGGTACCCCTTACGTTTTTTTTTTTTGGCGAAAAATTAAGTTTCTCCAATCTTCCCAAAACTCTGGATTCTGATAGAGGGCCATGAGACTTAGACCTGAGTGCAAAAATGGAGGCTCTAGCCCCTTCCAGAGCTGAGATATCGAAACTCAAAAATTCGGCCCGAAAAAAAAACGACAGTGGTACCCCTTACGTTTTTTTTTTTGGGGAAAAATTAAGTTTCTCCAATCTTCCCAAAACTCTGGATTCTGATAGAGGGCCATGAGACTTAGACCTGAGTGCAAAAATGGAGGCTCTAGCCCCTTCCAGAGCTGAGATATCGAAACTCAAAAATTCGGCCCGAAAAAAAAACGACAGTGGTACCCCTTACGTTTTTTTTTTTTGGGCGAAAAATTAAGTTTCTCCAATCTTCCCAAAACTCTGGATTCTGATAGAGGGCCATGAGACTTAGACCTGAGTGCAAAAATGGAGGCTCTAGCCCCTTCCAGAGCTGAGATATCGAAACTCAAAAATTCGGCCCGAAAAAAAAACGACAGTGGTACCCCTTACGTTTTTTTTTTTGGGCGAAAAATTAAGTTTCTCCAATCTTCCCAAAACTCTGGATTCTGATAGAGGGCCATGAGACTTAGACCTGAGTGCAAAAATGGAGGCTCTAGCCCCTTCCAGAGCTGAGATATCGAAACTCAAAAATTCGGCCCGAAAAAAAAACGACAGTGGTACCCCTTACGTTTTTTTTTTTTGGGCGAAAAATTAAGTTTCTCCAATCTTCCCAAAACTCTGGATTCTGATAGAGGGCCATGAGACTTAGACCTGAGTGCAAAAATGGAGGCTCTAGCCCCTTCCAGAGCTGAGATATCGAAACTCAAAAATTCGGCCCGAAAAAAAAACGACAGTGGTACCCCTTACGTTTTTTTTTTTGGGCGAAAAATTAAGTTTCTCCAATCTTCCCAAAACTCTGGATTCTGATAGAGGGCCATGAGACTTAGACCTGAGTGCAAAAATGGAGGCTCTAGCCCCTTCCAGAGCTGAGATATCGAAACTCAAAAATTCGGCCCGAAAAAAAAAACGACAGTGGTACCCCTTACGTTTTTTTTTTTGGGCGAAAAATTAAGTTTCTCCAATCTTCCCAAAACTCTGGATTCTGATAGAGGGCCATGAGACTTAGACCTGAGTGCAAAAATGGAGGCTCTAGCCCCTTCCAGAGCTGAGATATCGAAACTCAAAAATTCGGCCCGAAAAAAAAACGACAGTGGTACCCCTTACGTTTTTTTTTTTGGGCGAAAAATTAAGTTTCTCCAATCTTCCCAAAACTCTGGATTCTGATAGAGGGCCATGAGACTTAGACCTGAGTGCAAAAATGGAGGCTCTAGCCCCTTCCAGAGCTGAGATATCGAAACTCAAAAATTCGGCCCGAAAAAAAAAACGACAGTGGTACCCCTTACGTTTTTTTTTTTGGGCGAAAAATTAAGTTTCTCCAATCTTCCCAAAACTCTGGATTCTGATAGAGGGCCATGAGACTTAGACCTGAGTGCAAAAATGGAGGCTCTAGCCCCTTCCAGAGCTGAGATATCGAAACTCAAAAATTCGGCCCGAAAAAAAAACGACAGTGGTACCCCTTACGTTTTTTTTTTTGGGCGAAAAATTAAGTTTCTCCAATCTTCCCAAAACTCTGGATTCTGATAGAGGGCCATGAGACTTAGACCTGAGTGCAAAAATGGAGGCTCTAGCCCCTTCCAGAGCTGAGATATCGAAACTCAAAAATTCGGCCCGAAAAAAAAACGACAGTGGTACCCCTTACGTTTTTTTTTTTGGGCGAAAAATTAAGTTTCTCCAATCTTCCCAAAACTCTGGATTCTGATAGAGGGCCATGAGACTTAGACCTGAGTGCAAAAATGGAGGCTCTAGCCCCTTCCAGAGCTGAGATATCGAAACTCAAAAATTCGGCCCGAAAAAAAAACGACAGTGGTACCCCTTACGTTTTTTTTTTTGGGCGAAAAATTAAGTTTCTCCAATCTTCCCAAAACTCTGGATTCTGATAGAGGGCCATGAGACTTAGACCTGAGTGCAAAAATGGAGGCTCTAGCCCCTTCCAGAGCTGAGATATCGAAACTCAAAAATTCGGCCCGAAAAAAAAACGACAGTGGTACCCCTTACGTTTTTTTTTTTGGCGAAAAATTAAGTTTCTCCAATCTTCCCAAAACTCTGGATTCTGATAGAGGGCCATGAGACTTAGACCTGAGTGCAAAAATGGAGGCTCTAGCCCCTTCCAGAGCTGAGATATCGAAACTCAAAAATTCGGCCCGAAAAAAAAACGACAGTGGTACCCCTTACGTTTTTTTTTTTGGGCGAAAAATTAAGTTTCTCCAATCTTCCCAAAACTCTGGATTCTGATAGAGGGCCATGAGACTTAGACCTGAGTGCAAAAATGGAGGCTCTAGCCCCTTCCAGAGCTGAGATATCGAAACTCAAAAATTCGGCCCGAAAAAAAAACGACAGTGGTACCCCTTACGTTTTTTTTTTTGGGCGAAAAATTAAGTTTCTCCAATCTTCCCAAAACTCTGGATTCTGATAGAGGGCCATGAGACTTAGACCTGAGTGCAAAAATGGAGGCTCTAGCCCCTTCCAGAGCTGAGATATCGAAACTCAAAAATTCGGCCCGAAAAAAAAAACGACAGTGGTACCCCTTACGTTTTTTTTTTTGGGCGAAAAATTAAGTTTCTCCAATCTTCCCAAAACTCTGGATTCTGATAGAGGGCCATGAGACTTAGACCTGAGTGCAAAAATGGAGGCTCTAGC